CGCAAAACATGGACCAGGTATGTATTTTTTGGATTTGTAATGTAGGCCTCAGTTTTGGTGCGATGTAGATTAGGTTGAAATGTATATGTTTTAGTAGTGTTGATTGCGTTGTACGATGTGGTGATGTTGAATTATGTAATGTTTGTTGGGGTGTGTCAATGGCAAATACAAGGTGGAGTTATGTGTACTGGTTATTCTTGCTATTACCATTACTGCGTTGTGGTTTTGTGGTGATGTAGGTTGGTGTCTTATATTGAGTAAACCATACAGGAGGGTGTGCTTACGTTTTTGTTGTTATTTTATGGTGGGCCTGTTGTTTGTTTGTTAATGTGGGTAAGGGACGCTTGATGTTGGTGATGTGGTAATTGTAGTTAATAATTCATAGGTTGGACATTGAAAATCTGTTGTTTGTTGTTAATTTTCTGTTTTGACCAACACTACACCCAACCTACAAAAAATGTTAGAAAGTAAACACCAACTGGTTAACATTAAAATCTACCCATACAGTCCACTAAACACTACCTACAAAAAAAGGAATGTTACAACATATCTTACCCAATAGCAAGACAAAATCAAAAATGAAATCACAATATGGGCAAATCAATAATTGGAAAATACAATATAACAAACAAAGGGATACCTCTATTTGCACACCACAAATCCTTTCAATACACACCACTTGCTCAGTTCACACCATACACAAATTAAAACTTTTAATTTTATCTCAATACACACCACTAATTTTTAAATAATACCAAATTACCCTCTTCTTCTCCAATTAACTCTAACCCTAACCCAAATCCAAACCTTACCCATCGCCAGCCATCAGCCGTTGACCTCCACCCCTCCCCCTCTGTCACCCCTATCTGGCCCATCTTCTATCTTCATCTTCTTCTTCATTGTCTAGATCTGGAAACCCTAGGGCTTTCTCTCTCTCCCTGTGGTGGAGGAACTAGGATGCAAAAAGGCTAAGTCGTGATGAAGAGGTAAGAGAGATGGATCGCGATGGTAGAGGTAGGTGATAGAGTTGTTCACGATGGAAAAAAGGGGAGCAGGGTTGTTTACGATGGTAAGATAAGGGCGTACAACGGCGGAGGGATGGACGATGGAGCTGGGGAAGGCGCAACAGGCCTAGGGAAAAAGATTAGTGGTAGTTGCGATGGCGAGGGTTGATGGCGATGGCGATGGCGATGGCGATGGCGACGGCGACGGCGACCGGAGACAAGGGGCTGCGGTAGCGGCAGCCTGCAGTGGTTGTCAATAAGTTAGGTTAGGGTTTGTGGATGAAGGAAATGGAATAGAGATAAGAGCAATTTGGATATTTAATTGAAGGATAAAATTGTAATCAAAAAATTATGAATAATGGTGTGAACTAAGAGTAATTGATGTGTGTAAATAGAGTCACCCCAAACAAAGATATCATACCAAAATAAAAAAGGACTAAATGGTTTACAAAAAAAACACTCAAAACTAGATAGAACAACATTTTTTAATATGAAATTTATGAGTAATTTTTTTTTTTTATAGCGTATATATATTTATTAAGAAAAATAATAATTTATTTAAACAAAACTTAAAAAATTAATAAATCTTAAACTTTGTTTTAACTGTATATTTTAGTAAGATCGAGCTCGAATAGCTTTGTTGGCTTTGCACCTCTAGTTTTGTAGAACGTACAATTGAGGTGGGCCTCCCTATGATCAGAGGGCATGGGAATCAAAATGCAGGATTTGGTATTACCAAATCCATTTAGAAATACGACTCCAAAAGTTGTGGGCATGTATGTCGCCTATACAAAATTTTAATTGGGTTTTTATCTGATTTGTTTATGTTTTTATTAATTTATGTATTAAAAATAGTAAAACATAAATTGATGTATAAAATTGTTTAATAAATTATTTTTGAAATTGTTTTCAATAAAATTTTTGAATTTTTAATTTAAGGTACTTGATATTAAAATTTATAAGATAAAAGACATGTAATATTTTTATAGTAATTAGGGTCTTTCAATATTTTTACAGAGAGATTTAAGTATAGAAAAATTTCAAATAAATTTCAAACAAATTTTTCAGTGAGGAAAAATTCACAAAAATTTCAGCTCTTTATAGTAAAAATTCAAAGTGAATGATAAATTTTTCTGGTATGATCACGGGAAAATTTCTCTTCAAAAGAGAGATTTTCATAGAAATTTCGAGCAAGCTTCAACAAACACACACAAAAAAGGACCAGGTAAAAAAAAAAAAAAAAAAAAAAAAAAAAAAAAAAAAAAAAAAAAAAAAAAGAAGTTGATGATTGAAGATACCCTTACTCAAATTTATGCTTAATGGATGGGTCTATTGAAAATCAAACAAAACTTTTAATCAAATTTGAGTAAAATTTTGAAATCACAAATGTTTGAGTAATCAAAATTTTATAATTCGATCCATTATGGAGTATTTAGTGGAGATTATTTTAAATTAAAAGTTGATAATCAAAAAACAAAAGCCCTGTTTGGTAGAGCTGTGGAAAAGTGCTTATAGTTTATGCCTAAACAGCTTATAGCTTATAACTATGAACATAAGTTGATTTCTGACTTATTCTTAAAGCATCTCCTACCCCACTCAAAGAATAAGCTGATTTCTGACTTCCAAAAAGTTATAAGCTAAACCAAACACATCAAAATAACATAAATTAAGCTGAAAGCTGAAATAAGCTGATTATAATTTCTGCCAAACAGGCACAAAAACTAAAAACACTCTTCACTCAACTTCTGATTTTTTTTTTAGTTTTTTTAACTTATTTAAGTTATTTCTAATTAATAAGTACTAAACAGTCTAACATAAATTCTCATATTAAAATAAGTTATATAAGTATTTCCATAATTTTACCTAACACACCCTATGGTTATGTTTGTTTGGGTGGACATGAGCTTGGGATTTGACTAATAGTTCAATAAAATTATTAATCCGATGTTTGGTTAAACAATTGAAGTACAGACTAATTATTTTAAACTTGACTATTAGTTAAGATAGGATACATAATCTAACGGATTCGTAGTCTTAGAACTATTAGTCATGAGAATGTTAATCCAGTCCACCCAAACAAATATGCCCTATATGTTTTGAGCCACAATGTATATACATACATACATTTTAGGTACAAATCGGTTGTATGGATTTCTCTTTTCTTTTTATTTATTTATTTATTTTTTTTTTTTGAATAGCAAAAGAGAACAATTTATTGATGAAAAGGCCCAAGGGTATGAAAAACAGAGCATGCAAAGCCAAAAGGTTTAAGAGAAGGGAAAAGAAAGTTGATTTTCTTCTATTCCAAACCCTGTTCAATCTGATGCAAAAAACAGACATTTGTGATCCAAATCCAGTCCAAAAGGCTTAGAAGAACACAAGTCTCTGTCTTTGGCAACTAACTGGGTAGCAGTGTCCTCTGTTATTACTCTCTTTCTCTATATTGTCAAGTATCTCTTTCTATGTCAGGATAGATAATAGAAAGAAGGTATTCGAAGTTGCAATCGTATATAGACGGTAGAGAGAGAATAATCGTACTCCGCCGATTTGATCAGCAGATTCTCCGGTGACATTAAAGCTGTGTTTGTTTGGGGATTTGAGGAGTGATTTAGAAAGGGAAAAGAAAATGTACGTAAAATTATGTGAAATATAAGTATATTTTATTCACATTTCGCCTACATTTTTTATTTCTTTTTCTAAATTCCTCATCAAATTGCCAACCAAACACAACATAAGAATAATTCACTAATTTTTTGTAAAATTTTATGAAAACACCTATTTGTTTTAAAAATACTTTTAAAAAAAAATTAAAATGAAAAATATGAGTATTCTTAATTCATTATAAATATTTTTCTCGTATGATAAACGAAATGAGAAATTTAAAAAAAAAAAAATCAATACTAAACTTGAATTAGCCTAGTTTGGGGTATCCTAAATAAGTACACTTTTTATTTTTTTAGACTAAAAAGTTGAGAAAAAAAATATAGATATTTGGGTTAACTTTTTGACTTTTTATAAAAAAATATGTATTGAAAAATTGTATAAATTAGTGTGTAAGAGAAAATTAGTATTAAGAGTTGTGCAGCCGTAATTTTTGAATTTTGGTGAATAGTGATAACTTTTTAACTTTTTAAGTAATTTTTTGATTTTTTGACTTTTTTTACACTTCTCAAACTTGGCGTATAACTTATTATAAGTTAAAAATTAATAATAAAAAATAACACACATTTTTTAATTTTTAGATAATCAATTTTTTAAAACTTTTTAAAACTATTTATATTTAACAGAATTCCAATATAAAAAAAAAAAACTACAAACAATTTAAAAAAATTACATCAAACATCCATAATGTGATAAAATAAAAATCCATAATTAATCGTCTGTGCATGATAAAAATAAAATACAAATCCATAAATTCATAAAAAATTGGCTAATCACAAGAGAGAAAAATGTGATCAACAACAAAATTAGACGAATTGTCTAATCAACAAATCACAAAGAAAAAGTTTGTGAATAACAGCAAAATTAAACCCTAACTTCAAAAAGCAAAAAAACAAAAACAAAATACAAACGAATCTTTGATTCTGTCTGTAATCACAACCACCAAATTAAAAACAAAACCCAATACACTGCTGCACGTGCTTCGACATCAACATCACGTGACATTCCCAACTACCAATTAAAATAGAGAGAACCTTTCTATACCCAATTTACGCAAATACCTCCCAATTTTTTTAATTTTTTTAAAGGCGTTTATGTTATTTTAGTCCAGAAAAAACCAACAATTTCTTTAAATTTGATCATTATCTTTTTTTATATTTAGATTATAGACTAAATAACGTAAAAATATAAAAAAGAATGGAGCAATTTAAAGACAATTCATAATAAGACAAAAATAACTCAATTTTTATCATTATTCTCAACAATTTTTTTTTTGTCTTTACAAAAATCAATCGAATTTATTAAAAAAAAAAAAAAGACATAACAAAGTACACATAGGTCAATTTTATTTCTAAACTAAAATAACTCAAACCAAACGAAACTTAAATGAAATATTTTGGTCTTTATAAATCTATGGTACCGTGCGAGTTATGTTCAAATACAAATAAGACATTCCTATCCCTACGTAAATACAAACAAGACCTTTCTATCTTATTCTCTACGTGAAGTGTATATATTGGCACTACAAATTTCCTATTATATTTCGATGCTTTCTCTCAAGAAAGCCTTCTAGAACCACTTTCTTCTTGTACTCATCATAATTCAAATCCGAATCTATCTGATTTGATTCATTTTGAGTACTAACACTAGACTTAGCGACAATTTTGAAACGACGAACGACATAAAACAATGCAGCAGTACAAAGAATGGCACAAACCCTACCCCATACAAACATTATTATTAGGGTCACCATTATAATTGACAATCCAATTACCGGGTTGAATTTTCCGATGAGTGTGTCACTTTCCGGCAACATTTTATTCCCATGGCTTTTAGAATTTTCGCCCACATTTGTCACTTGTTTGTTCTTTTGCTTTGGGGAAGAGGAGGGAGATAACACGGTAATAGTATGATCGAGCTTTGACTTCTTCTTTGGTGAACTGGGGTGACTATTGCTGATTTTTGAGACGGTAATTTTTCGGTCAATGGATAATTGTTTTTGACAAGTGTTCTTTTTAGTTGAACTCACATGATCCAAATCTTTGTTATCTTCGAGGATGATGTTCTGGGAAGTTTCATGCCTTGTCTGAAAACAAGAAAGAGAAAATTCAAAACACTGATCCACCAGAAGTTGGTGAAAACTAATTTGATAATAAAATAAAAAAAAAACAAAAATCAATCTTCATATTGGTTTTTTTCTTAAAAAATATTTTTTTAGTGTTTATTTTATAAAATTAGATTTGAGTATTTTTCAAAATTTTGAAATCGAAAGCAAACAAAGAAATGTTTGGATATGAAATTTAAAGAAAAAAATGGAACGAAAAAGATAGGAAAAAAATATAAGTGAAAGTTAAAATTTGTTTTATTGGGTTAAAAAATGAATATATAATTTACAAAAAAGTGAAATTTTTAATTACTTATAAAAACTAGAATTTAGTTTGTTTATTGGGTTAAGAAATGAAAAAACTGAATAATTTTATCAAAAATTATAATTTTTTGTTTAATTATTTATATAAATAAGAATTTATCAGAATTTAGTTTTTTTTTTTTTTCTCCATTGAGTTAAGAAATGAAAAAATTGAATACATATCAACAAAAAGTATAACTTTTGTTTAATTACTTAGAAAAATAAGAACATAAGTAATTTATTTCTCTTTTCTCTTTCTCTTTCATTTTCCAAACTATATTCTAAAAAAAAAAAATTATATTAGGAACATTAATAGTAAATAATCTTCACTATCTAAAAAAAAAATAGTTAATAATCTTCACTCATTACAAAGAATTTGAATAAAAGTGCTTTATTAAAATACCTTTTGGAGTTTTTCATGCTCACTTTGCTCCGGCGAGTCTGCCGGAATCTTCGCTGGAGCATGGTGTTTGGAGGTGATTTTCTTGCCGGCAGGAGCAGTGGCGGCATCGACAGGGACAGTTTTGGCGTCGGATTTCTTCAACCGTGGCCATGAAAACCAGCGAGGAGACTTTTTCCGAGGAATTTCCTCGGAAACTTTGACTTTCCCGGAAAATCCAAAGCAACCCAGAAAGCAGCTGCTGGTTCTGCTTCTGGGTTTTGATATGATGGTGTTATCTTCGATTTTGGCCATGGAAGAGAGAGAAAGTTAGAGTCGGCATGGAGGGTTTTTGAAGACTGAAAATGGCTTAACTTCTTGTGTAGTTGTATCTGAAAGTTCTGTGAAATGGTCTCAAATTTTCTATTGGGGAAAAGTATTATATAGTATTTTATTTATTTATATATAATCTGGACTTAATATAATAATACAACTATATGGATATCATTAATATAATAATACAACTATATGGATATTATCTAATGTATTGAATTTTTCACTACCTACTCGTAATTGTCTCCTAGTCAGCAATAACATTATGAAGCCGGTAAATTAGTTGAATGGAGTGTTGTATTAAGTTGTTTATGTTTGATTTTAAAATATGTTTAAATTTGTTATATTTATTTTTTAAGAAGATTTTAAGAGATATTTAACGGAGTTGAGTTTCACTAGTTTGATTTTTGACAATTCATATAATCGAGTCGAATCGAATCGAATCGAATCGAGGAGTAAATTATTCAAGTTTTAAACATTTAACTATTTTTAAAATGTGTTCAAACTTAATTTATTTACTTAATGAATCGAATTATTAAGCCACATAACATGACATCTAAAGCTTGTCAAAAAATTCTTACTGTTAAAAGCTCTAATTTTTTAAAGAGCTATGAGGCTAGACATTATTTTGGCGTTTGGCCTGAGATGTCCAAAAATCTTGAGCCACTACTGCACGTTGATTACAAACATATTTTTAATAAGTTGAGTCAAACTTAAATAAATTGATTCATTTTTAAGTTGATTCATCTTACAATAGTTTTTGGAACTGGTAATCTTTATAGGTAAGAAGTGAAAAAAAGATTTGTTTTAAACCGAAAATTATTAAATACTTTTGGAGTATCGTGATATTGTTTATGTGGTATTCCCTATCAATGGAAAGTTCTAACAAACTAAGCTGATCATCCTTTGTCTTTCTAAAAATGTTAGAGATCTTAAAAATTTTATCAAATGTCTTACATGAATGTTGGACTCACATGGTGTGGGTCTCACATCCATGTGAGATATTTGGTAGAAATTTTGATAAATTTTGAGATATCTATCATTACTCTTATCTCTCAATTACTTTATAGAAATGCGTCAACATGTCTCACCCATAAAATTTTGAAAAAATAATTAATAAATCCTTTTTGGCTTTTAAGATTATTAACGAGTCATATCAAGTTTTCAGTGTGAATAATTAAGTCCTATTTGTGATAAAAGGTTCTTAAAAGATTCATTATTCCATAATGGTGTATCTTATTCAAATTTTACTCTTCCTATTTAATATGCACAACAATTTTTATAAATAATCTTAACTTAATTAAATTTAAAATTTTAATTGTAAAAATTATTAATCTTATACTTATAATTTTTGTTTATGACTTATTTGTAGTCCCCAATTGTAGACTTTTGGCTACTAAATTTTTTTAGTCGCCAAAAAGTTTCACTTTGGGCTACTAAAAAATTTTTAGTCATTAAAACCCATATAATCAGCGACCAAACTTAGTTTTAGTCGCCAATTGTAGACTTTTACTAAAATTGTTTAGTCGCCAAAAAGTTTTACTTTTGGCAACTAATGCTGTTTTGGTCGCTGAAAGTATAGCTTTCAGCGACCAAATTTTTTTGGTCAGGAAATTTAGTCGCCGAATATGCTTTTTCCTGTAGTGTATATTGAGTTTAATTCATTTATTTTTAATCATTTACTGCATTTTAAAATTTTAGAAAATATATTGGCATTTTTTGTTTTTTCAAAAATGTCATTATAAGCTTGGAAAATTTTTCGCTTAGTGACATTTCTCAAAATGCTATAAAATATTTGTTTATGACACTTTTCACCTAAGTGCCATAAAAAGTAATTTATACATATTTAGTGTCCTGACATTTTTTAAAAAATGCCATTGCAAATATTCATAAAAAGTTTTTGTAGTGACATTTTTGTTGTAGTGAAGTGACACTTTTTTTAATTGAAATGCCACTAGAGCCTTATATGTTTGTGGCTCTATGACATTTTTCTAAAAAATGCCACCAAATATTCTTTTTGTGTCTTTTTTAAGAACATGCCACTAGTATGATGTCACTAAAATATGTTTTTGTTGTAGTGTTGTGACACTTGTTCATTGAAATGTCACTAGAGCCTTTTATGTTTGTCGTTTTGTGGCATTTTTCAAAAATGTGCCACTAAATATCATTTTTGTGTCATTTTCTAAAAATATGCCACTAGTGTAGTGCCACTAAAGTATGTTTTTGTTGTAGTTTTGTGACACTTGTTCATTGAAATGTCACTAGAGCCTTTTATGTTTGTCGTTTTGTGACATTTTTCAAAAATGTGCCACTAGATATCATTTTTTGTGGCATTTTCTAAAAATATGCCACTAGTGTAGTGCCACTAAAGTATGTTTTTGTTGTAGTGTTAAGTTGTTTATGTTTGATTTTAAAATATGTTTAAATTTGTTATATTTATTTTTTAAGAAGATTTTAAGAGATATTTAACGGAGTTGAGTTTCACTAGTTTGATTTTTGACAATTCATATAATCGAGTCGAATCGAATCCAAGAATAAATTATTCAAGTTTTAAACATTTAATTATTTTTAAAATGTGTTCAAACTTAATTTATTTACTTAATGAGTAGAATTATTAAGCCACATAACATGACATCTAAAGCTTGTCAAAAAATTCTTACTGTTAAAAGCTCTAATTATTTAAAGAGCTATGAGGCTAGACATTATTTTGGCGTTTGGCCTGAGAGGTCCAAAAATCTTGAGCCACTACTGCACGTTGATTACAAACATATTTTTAATAAGTTGAGTCAAACTTGAATAAATTGATTCATTTTTAAGTTGATTCATCTTACAATAGTTTTTGGAACTGGTAATCTTTATAGGTGAGAAGTGAAAAAAAGATTTGTTTTAAATCGAAAATTATTAAATACTTTTAGAGTATCGTGATATTGTTTATGTGATATTTTCTATCAGTGGAAAGTTCTAACAAACTAAGCTGATCATCCTTTGTCTTTCTAAAAATGTTAGAGATCTCAAAATTTTTATCAAATGTCTTACATGGGTGTTGGACTCACATGGTGCAAGTCTCACACCCATGTGAGATATTTGGTAGAAATTTTGAAATATCTAACAGTACTCTTATCTCTCAATTACTTTATAGAAATGCGTCAACATGTCTCACCCATAAAATTTTGAAAAAATAATCAATAAATCCTTTTTGGCTTTTAAGATTATTAATGAGTCATATCAAGTTTCAATATGAATAATTAAGTCCTATTTGTGATAAAAGGTTTTTAAAAGATTCATTATTCCATAATGGTGTATCTTATTCAAATTTTACCCTTCCTATTTAATATGAACAACAATTTTTATAAATAATCTTAACTTAATTAAATTTAAAATTTTAATTGTAAAAATTATTAATCTTATACCTATAATTTTTGTTTATGAAAAATTATTTAATTTGAACTATTAAAAATAATTTAATTATAAAATTTCTAATAAATTAAAATTATTTATGAAATTTTTTGTTCAAGATAAAATGAAAATAAAATATACTATTATCAACAATTGAATTTTTTTACGTATAATAATTTATAAATAAAAATAAAATTTATTTGTTAATATTGAAATTTGATAAAACTCAATAGTAATTTTCAAAACAAAATAGAATTTTTTGATAATTTTTTCATTGTGATTCATGATTTTTTTAATACAATATCATAATTTTTAAAATTAAAAAATATTATTTACTTAGATTAAAAATATTTTCATATTAAATGAGGGGTAAATTTGAGATAACATCTACCATTATGGAGCAATGAATTTTTTAGAAATTCGTTATGAAAAATGTGATTTAGTTGTCCATATCGAACCTTGATAGGATTTTATAGTAATTTTAAGAGTAAAATCGAACTTATTGGTTATTTTTCCTAAAAATAATCTAATCTTGTTTAGGTAGATTACATAAAATAAAAGTATAAAATAACATTTTATGCTTTATTTCTTTAGTAACAACAAGGACAATTTTGATATCATATAAAATTATTAATCAATATCTCTCATTACTTTTCTGTCCCAAGCTTTCTAATTTTGAAGAGATTCAAAAAGTGAGTTGTAAGAATAATCAATTTCTCTCTATGTCTTTTCATTTCTCCATATTTCTCTTTTTGAATAATGAGATTAACTACACTTAGCACCCTTACACTTTCATCGTAATCTCACTTTGATTTCTGCATTTTTAACTGTAACAGTGAACCCTTACATTTTAAGTCAAATTGCAATATTAAGGGATGTTGGTTCGGATACTCGGTTATAAAAAAAAAAAAAAAAAATGAAAAATTGCAATATTATATTTCCATCCATCTACCATTTATATATAAAGCTAACGAAACTTAGCATGTGAGCTAAACATGTATTTTTTTTTTCATTAGTGCTCCTACATTTTCTTCAAAATATCATTTCTGTCTTTACACTTTCACTAAAATCTTGTTTTGGTCATTTCACTTTTAATTTTGAAAAAATTACACTTAAATCTCTTAAGGTTTGAGAAAAATACAATTAGCCCTACAAGTTTGGAACAATTACTTTAACATTCTTTTTCGTATGGTTAAAGTGATCAAAACTAATATAATTGTGAATAAATAATGATAAATATACATTTTAGTGTAAAGAATATGTTAATATCATCCTTTCATCCAAGTGACTCACGAATTATTAATGAAAAATGACCTAAGAGTTATGTGAATTAAAATTTTGAAAGAGGCCAGTATAATTATATTAAGGGCAATGCTAGAGACCACTAAAAGTGGTGCTCTAAAGCAACCATTAATGATGTGGCATCACAACAACATTGCGGCAGTGGGTGTGGTACTACTATAACTTTTTTCAAATTTTAAGGGAGATTAGTGTAATTTACCATTTAATTTTCAGCAACCTCATTTGTAGACAGAGAAATGACATTACAACTTGATTTAAAATGTAAAAAATTAACTATTATAATTGAAAATAAAATGACCAAAATAAAATTACAGTAAAAGTACAAAAATATATACCAAGTGTAATTAACCCTTCACAATTCAAATAAGTGATTAAAACAAAAACAAAAACAA